AGTTGTATAAACTTTATATTTCACAAATACAAGAATTTACAGTTATATATAATCGTTTCATTGACATTTTATTTGATACAAATTATCATTTTCCAAAATTTTCCAGTAAAGACATAAACAAACGTTTCAATTTCAGACGATGTAATACTTTAAAATTCATTAAAAGTATTTCGTAAGTTCAGAATATACTTTAACAATCTCTTTATTTAAACAGAATATTTCATAATCATAGAAATATCAGTGGCAAGTAATCCTACGGGCAAAAAAGCAATTGCCTGGGGTCACCAGAAACGAAAAACCCCAAATCAATCTTTTACAAGACAATATTTCTTTCAAAAAATTACCCCGAAAAAAAAAATATGAAGTCAACACTGAGGATTAAATGGGGCCATTTAATTCAAATTTGTCTGCGTCTCTAGAACCTATAACGCGCTACTGAGAGACATTACATTTTGTATTACATGTCTCATTATTTAATAACACCTTCTCGTAGATATTTTAGTTAAAGACTCTACCAAATGCGCAATTATAAGAATTAATATTCAAGTCAAATTATTATTAATTTATTTCGTACAAAGCGAAATACAATATAATTTTGACTAACAAATGTTTAAAACCATTTTAAAATAATGTTCGCTATTATTATACATTTACAAAAGAAAAAATCTGACAAAAAATACAGAAAATTAGTTAATAATATTAAAAATGATAAAAGCATGAAATATGATATCATTTACCTCCATATCATCATATGGAAAAAGTCAATAGATTTTACAGGTAATTTCTGAAATCTTCAAGCCACTCGAAAGCTCGATTGGATAAGTGAAGATAATTGAAAAAACTAGGAAACGTATATTGAATAATTAGACTTGTAATCACACAAATATTTCACTTATAATTGTAATTTCTAGGTAAACAATTGATTATAAACATATAGTTCAAAATACGTTCAGTATATCAAATTTATATGAAATATTTATAAATCATTTAATTTGAAACTAAAAGTTTGTAAAGTGAAAATTGGAATATAAATCCACAAGACTAAACTTTTAACTTCATAATATTCGGGTAAGAGCTTTATTTTCAGGTGACGGTGCTACTATCAGGACGTCGTGGAATGGCGAACGGCCTCGCCGTCACTACAAATTACCACAAGACTTCTCCGACGGTAACACAACGTGGCGGGAGCATGCCGCCACTAAAAGAAGAATGAGACTTTCGATGTCTCGGGCCGAATGCCTCCGAGTTCGAGCCCGTGAGAAAAATGGAACGACACGAAACAAGGTCAGTGGAGATTGTAGCATATATTAGACGAACAGTTGGGTATAAACTGTGACTTATCACAAATCAGTACCGTGTTGGAAAAATCAAGCTAAACTCTTATTGGCTACTGCAGTCGTGTGACTGACTCTTGATCGTCATCGTTGCAAATGTAGTGGACTATAATCGTTTTTCCAACGCGTTTTCTTTACGTGGCTCCGGAGAAAATTATGATTGTTTTTTCAGTAAATTAACTTTACCATCGCGTTCTATATTTTTTTAATCTACAAAATGGCACGTTCAGTTTATAAACGCATATTAGTGGACTTTGATCGTTTTTTCCTCGAACCTTCAATTGAAATAGTTCACATATGATTGACCCACAGATAACCGACAACACTGCAACTGTAGCCTAAATATCTGCTAATTTTATAATTAGTTAACCTTTTAAAACCAGTAAAATGTACTGACGTAAAAAAGTAAACATACATCCTTTCGTTATTTTTCTTTTATTTGAATTCAGTTGTTGATGTTAACCATTTCGATACATTCACGCAGTGTAATGATTCATTCAACATAATGCTGCGATTTAACAGCTTTCACTTGTTCTAATATAAAATCTCTTAACTTTTATCGGTTCTAAAGTTTCTAATAATTAGTGTTATATAAAGCGTAATCGATTTTTGAAACAGTTCCTAATATATTTTCATAAACATTTTAATTTGAAATATATATTCTTCACTAGTATACTTAAATTTAAGCGATCTCCATAACTAATGCACAATAACTTATAACTTGGTCCATGAAAACAAAAAAGCCATTGAAACATTTATTAAATAAAAACACTAGGTCTTTGACAAATAGTCGCCAATTTTATCAGTTTTCTTTTGGTTACATATGATGGAAACTAGGGTTTCTCATTTCCCGGTCTTTTGCTTGTCCCGGGATTCCGAGATAAAAGTGAACTGTTTCCCGGAATCCCGGGATAGAATAAATTATTTTAATCTCACAAAGTTAAAAAAGATCAAGCGTCAGCCTTTCATTTTAGATTTCTGACACTAAACCTAAAATGAAAGGCTGACACTTGATCTTTTTTAACCTTGTGAGATTTTTTACCAATTTTTACCTGTGTATAAGAAGAGTTCTTCAAAGCATTTTTTTATAACTGTTACTTCTGTGGTAGTGTATAAGGGATGAAGATGGACTCAAAAGTTATTTTTGACTTTTTGTACGTAGTCTAAACTTCAAATTCATACTTGCAGACTTTGTACTCGTTTGTATCCTTGCCCAATTTGCACAATCTGGCGTCAGGCATTTATTGAAGCTACTGGGCATGGTTAAAACTCAAGACAGCGTAAGCACAATTATTCCAGATATTACAGGTTCCGACAAGTAAAGAATTTTTATAGTCTTGCCACAAATAAGCTATATATTGATTACTTATCATTTGTGACATGCTATAACGAGCAAAAATTAAAAAAAAAAACTAATAGGTAAGTTTAAAATTAATATTCAACTTTAGTATTTTGTATTTCGTAGATTTTCTCTATCAAAGTCGAAGAAGAGGAAGTTTTTCTGTGGAAGTAGTGGCAAATAATTCTGTTGAAAGTCACACTTTAAAATTCATAGGAGGATTCACACAGGAGAAAAGCCGTACTGTTGCCAGTTATGCGGTAAAACCGGATTTTTCGCAGCTATTTCGGAGAAAAACTTTTACCTTCAATCATTGCAAACACAGATTTTCACAACAGAGCAATTTATTAATTAAGGCATCTTCAAATTCATACGGAAAAGAAATCATATACAGTCGACCCCCCATAACAGGGGTTCCTATAGTTCGGATTTTTATATTACGGCGTAAAATTCTTCGCACAAAAAATAATTTATCAGGAAGCACGCGAACGCTATTCAATGACAATCTCCACGACGAAAACAAGCTTAACCCTGGGCTAGTGCAGTGGGATGTTTCGCCACCCCCAACGTTTTAAAAGTTGTTGCACTATTCATAGATTTCGCAAGAAATATTTGTGTCCTCTTCAGTAGCTTCATGATTTTATGTATAGAGCATGCTCAGAAATTACTACGATGCTGCAGAAATTCCAGTAAGAGAAAAACAACAGTTATCAGTGGGGTGTCCTAACACCCCACAGTATTAATTACGTTTTTTTTTAAATTTTACAAATATTTATTTAGTTTTTTTTATTTAAAAATAACTATAATGTGACCACATTTATTATTTATAATATAGATATAATAATCAATGTGAATAAAAATAATTTAAGTTTATTTTAATTCAAAATGGCTGACTTTCATAAACACATTGAGAAAATACCAAACATAGCAAGTTGCTTGTCATTTGCACTGAGTGCCAAAGTACAATGTCAGCTATTGAATCAGAGTGACAAAAATGCTTAAAAAACAATTTAGATTTTTACTATTGGTTTAATAATAAGATCTAATGTAATGAGTTTTGATAAATGTTGTTTTTTATTTTCGTGGATTTATGTACTAATATAATATGTAATCATACCTGAATATAATCATATGTATAATGACACATGCCTTTACCAAATAAATGAGTAAATCTTTATGAATTTTTACTTACATGGTTTATAGACTCAAAAAAATGTTGGGGTGGACAAACGCCCCACTGCACTAATGACGAAAAAAAACTCAGTGCATTAACGCAGGGTTAAGCAACGGCGTAGTCGACACTCGGTTAGTAATTCTACAATTTTTTGTTTATAGCATAGTTTATATGGATTATTCCCAAAAAATATACGTATTTTGGAAATGTTGAGTCGAATTAGTCTAGAATCGATTAATTTAATGGAAGAAAACCTTTCAAACAGCCGTAGTCCTTAAACTGCACACGTGCAGGGCTGTGATTGTCAAGGTCTCCTAAAACATCAATTTCATAAAGAACGGAACNTATTTTGGAAATGTTGAGTCGAATTAGTCTAGAATCGATTAATTTAATGGAAGAAAACCTTTCAAACAGCCGTAGTCCTTAAACTGCACACGTGCAGGGCTGTGATTGTCAAGGTCTCCTAAAACATCAATTTCATAAAGAACGGAACGTATCTACCATGTTATGGGGGGGTCGACTGTAACTGCAATTATTATTTACAATAGTTCGCTTAAAAATACAGTTTGAATTCTCACATGACACGTCATAGCAAAGCGATTATTAATTAATATAAATATTGTAAAAGTTTGAAATTTGAAAGCAACTTTGCTGTTTATTCATTTCCTACGATTTTCAGTTTTTATACCTGATAATATTACAAAAAAAAAAAAAAAAAAAAAAGATAAAAGAAAGAAACCAAATTTACTCGAACGGGACTCGAAACAACAACAGCAATGTGAATATGTAACTAACGCACCAAGACCACACCACTGGCCACATTATCCACAATGTAAATTATAAAGGTGTTAACTGATGATTGTGAAGTGACTTCAACATTTTGCTGTTACTGGTAAGCATATAATGGCCTACGTAGTTATATGCTAATTTTTTAGATACGTATATATAAATAAATACACGTATAAAGCCAGTTTTAATGTCGGATATACAGAATTTACAAGTAATTCAATTAAAACATTAAGTGCTCCTACGGAGAGGTGGTGACATCAAAGTCATGTGGCATCTGCAGCCAATTACCGTGATGATTTCTTTCTGCTTCTAAGCGCATGTTGCCTCCGTTATTCTTCGTCATACTCGAGAGTTCAGTGCGGAAACGAGCCGAAGAAATGGCGGATCCAGAGGTGCAGAGTCGGTAAGTAGTTGTATTGTTTTCTGTTTATAGTGTTTTTATATGTGTGGGCACAAAATAATTTTACGCGTTTTGCTATTGACTATCGTATGTGTCTTTTTTATAAAAAAATTGAGAAAGAAAGCGATGCTGTGCTGATATCGCGAGCTTAAAAAATAATAACGTGATAAATCACATAAGTTAATTTTTTTTCTCTTATTTGTACTTATTTCATCACATATATTCGCGTCAAATGAACATATTCTTACTGAATATTTATATATAAATTTTCTAGAATATTTAAACTAAAAGTATTTAGTACCCAAAGTTTCAATTGTTATACTGGATGACTAAGTAAAACTTCACAAAAGCTTATTTTCATGTGTCTGTTTACAATGTTTGAACTCGAGAAATAGACTCTTTTACGGTTCAAAGGGTTTAAGTAGCTTAAAATTTCTTTTCTCTTGTTGAAATTACTTTCAGTCTTTAAAGTTTGAGTTAATAAGCTTTGTTCACTTTTTAATATACAAATGATTAATACTCATTTTTTTCTATAAGATTTAATTCGGGTAGTTCAGTGTTTCTCGACATATAAATCGCGGATCCTTCAGTTCCATCAACTCGTAGGTGGGACGTTGAGTTCTAAAAAGTAAAAGTGGTGTTTATTTCTTTAAGGCAGTGTTTGTCAACGGTAGTGTTTCTCCACGTAAGCGTTTTTCCGTGTTGAGGTGGCGATTAGTAACAATTTATATTTTGGGGGGCGAAAACAATTTTCTAGGAAATATAGTAAAACACTATAATAAGAATAATTAGATATTTTATTCGTTATATCGTCCAATAATTAAACAAATAACATTATACTAGACACTAGTCTACTCAATTCAGTACGAATTTGGTGTGAGCCTTGCTTGTCGGCATCGGAATTTTGTTGTGAAGGTGCGATAATACGTAACGGTTTAATTGAAGGGGGCGACGATTCGTTAGAAGGTGAGAAACAATGGTGTAAATCAATTGAATTAATTAATTAATTAATTACATTTTGTACAAAGATTTGATTCAGATTAATTTGATGCCAATATTTTTAATAATATATTTTGCTGGTAATTATTTGCATTAAGATTGTTAAGCGTTTTCTTTTAACTCTGTTTTAAAGAGGCATATTTAATAGACATTTTATACACAAAAAAATAAAATGTTTTGTTTAAAACACTAGATCTATTACGTGTTAAAGCAGCACTTTATAAACGTCATTTGTTCAATGATTACAAGTTTCACATGAAAGTACTGTACAGAGAAATTCACTTATTCGACCGGTTTATTATTTATCGGTCTACAAAGCGGGAGAAATCATGTTCAGAATGAATATTCTGTATGAGTACGACAGTTTTACTTTATACATTCCTTTCCTATGTAAGCGACGAGGAACCACATGAAGCCATTCGGCATGGAATAGCCATAAGCAATGCAACTAGACGCGCTACGTGTCTCTTTAACTAATAACTTATCACTTAAAGGCTTTTTGTTTTCTTCAGTTTGTAATTTAATCTTGTAATTATGCTTTGCGTGAATGTCAGACACACACGAAGACAAAATTTAATTTTTACTTAATTACGGCGCTTCGATGTCCGTTTATTTAAAACATACGAAATAAGTTTTGATGAAAAAAAATTTAAAGATTTTATCATCTGTTACTGAATATAACATGTAATTGTTAATTCTTTGTAAAATTAGACTTTCGTAAGTTGTTTTCGGGTCGAGAAAAAATTTTCAGCTTCCCCCTCTTAACGGACTTGTTTAATCACTTTTTACAATGGATATTGATTGATTAATATTATGTTAGCGTAATGATTTTTTTACTTTTAAGGTTTAGGCTTGTATCACAAAATAATGGAAAATTCCAGAAAATTGCAGTTTGGGACTAGCATTGTCACTTATAACAGTACATTATACAATGATCTATACACATAGAGATTCAGAATACGATAGTTACAGGAAAATCAATTACTGTTCATCAATTATTATTGAAAATTAATTATCATTGAATTACAGGATTCTACACGAATCCTGGATTATTTAACTGTACAGACATCTTTGTTAGTTTGTTTTTGTTGATTCCTATTTAATTCTAGTCGGGAAATGATAGAAGTATCGAAGATACATTTATTTAACAAAAGGACCGTCGATAATCTGTCAAAAACTATATACATACACAAGAATCTTTACATTAACAAAAGGTCACTTTGATATTAGTATTAATATCTATTGATAATTAAATAATATTTATGAACGTTCATAAAAAATGTATCGTTTAAAATAAGCAGCGATATCTTTATTCTATTAACAGGATTGTATTTCGGGCTTCGCTTCTCCTGAAGGAAATATCCCGAAATACTTCCCTGTTCATAAAATAGACATGTCTTTTTTAAAAAATGCAGCGATTCCTGGTACGATAGCTCCTAGGAAATAAAACTTGATTATCGCGGAACCATCAAATCCAAAGATGATAAGCTAATACGAAATTTGACTAATATTTTAAAAATAGATATTAATGTATTTATTGTGCCACACATCGTTGTCGGAAATACTACATGTAACGTACGTACAGACTGTACGTTACTCTGTTGTACTGTACGGTACACTACAACAGAGATGTTTGTAGAGATGTTTGTTGAAAGTAATAATAAATACCTTTTTGCTGTTTAGGATTTCTTCGAGTGAAATACAAATCCAAAACAAGGAAAACGAAGAAATTATTATATCAGAAGCTCAGTTAAATAAAGTCTTCAACAGGCATTTGGAACTTATCATTACATATGTTGAAAATTCGAAACTACTCTTTATGCCTTATCCAATCGAGACCATCAGACAATTCGTTACGTACGTTTCTCACGATACTTACCTTTCATTTAATTTTAATACCTTGTAATACATTATAATTTATATTTTTTAAACAGTTATGTACAGACGGACGATCCCGGATTGACCTCTATTATACACGCGTTCGATCTGTATCATCTGAGTTTAAGATACGAGTTAGACCATTTAAGAAAGAAATGCAGATCATTTATCATTCGGAAAATAAACCTGAATACCGTCTGTGCAATCCACGATTTTGCACCTGAGATCGGTGATCTGCTCATAACTTATTATTGCTGGCAAGCTTTCGACTATCACGGAGAAAGACCATTTACAACAGTCGACTTTATGTGCTGTAGAATTACAACAATTGATAGACTGCTATCTCGAGCGATATATGAATCTGTCAGTGAATTGCGTTTACTCCAAGCCGTGTATCAGTGGAGCATAGAAGAAGTTAAAAGGAAATTGGGTACAGACAACTTCCATTCGATGAATGAAGAGTCGGAAAGGAATACAATTAGAAATGTTATGAAGCCATTTATTGAAAAAGTCAGATTTTTTTCCATGAATAAAGACGAATTGCAATCTTGTGTTTATACACTAAACTTGTTACACGAGCAGGGGCGGACTAAGGCCTAGGCAACCTAGGCACGTGCCTAGGGCCCGTAATTTTTGGGGCCCCAAAAATTAGGTTTTTAATTTTTTAATTTTAAAAATAGGCCCGGAATTACAATGTTGCCTAGGGCCCGCTTTAGCCTTAGTCCGCCTCTGTACACGAGATAGAAAAGATTCATATCTGGCATGCTTTTAATACTGGTAATTATTCCTTGTATCTCAGTTACTTCAGTCGAGAAACAAAAACCAGAAGCAGAATGAATTATTGTAACTTGTTCTCGTACATAAATCTTGGAGATTCTTCTCTGGTCTCAACAAGAGAGATGAAAGGTTACATATATTTTAGCAGCGAAGTAGTTGTGAGGGAAGATTGTTTCGTCACGGCTCTTCGATTTCCGGTGAAGCTTGGCGAAAGTTTTCCAATGTACGTATATGCGTATATTAACAATTTGGATAACGAGTATTTTTCGTTTGAAACCGTTTGCAATTCAGAGGGAGTAGCAGACCTGAAAACGAGGTTGTATCTAGAAAAATATTGGTCAATTCGTTTAATTGCTTTCTTTTTCCTCGTTGAAAATGTCCAACACGATGTCGAGTTTTCATGTCAACTGAGTTATTTTGTGAGCGTCGAAGGAACAGCTGCCAGGAAATTTGAAGACAAATTCCTAATCGGTGACAGAAACCTTGTGAATAATATTTACTTTTTGGTTGATTTATACTTTTGAAGTGAAAAGTTTTACTGGAAAAAACCGGAATATAAACGATAATATAATTTGAAGTTAATTCGAATATAATTATTTCTTACTGTATCATTAAAATTTCTTATAATTAAAAGAACGGTATTGTTATTTGTATTTGTTGACAAGAATGTAATGTTTTTCCATTCTTTTTATCTTCAACACTTTTGCGTAAATTTAATTGGCTTCAAATTTGATTTGTTTGATGTGAATGTGTCGGGACCTCTTGCCTGGTAACTGACATTTTCCGTTAAAAGAACATTGCGTTTAGAACGATTTGACGGCAGAATTTCTACAGCAAAAGAAGCTTTTTTAACTTTAATACTACGGGATTACAATAAGGTATTTTTGATAGCGGTACTGTACGTATTTTTAATACTAAACAATGGGATATTGGAGAGCGTCTAGAAATTTTCGACTAGTTTTTTCAAAATATACAATTTCTAAAAATAAATATAAAAATATTTATTTATTATATTTACAGCGATCGTATTTTGGAGAATTTTTATTGTCATATTATTTATTTAAAAATTTACATTAATATATTTTATTTTGTGAGAATTTTAATAATGCTGCCTTACTGCATGCCTGTTTTATGAATAGATATGTTTACTGAATACTTCGTCTTTGTATTTAAGTTTTTAAATGTTTCTTTCTCTTCGTGTAATACTAGCAAAAGACATCAATTAACCAGTGTTGTTTTTTTTTCTTTAATTGAATAGAATGCAAATTTTTTATATCATGCTAGAGTCGAAATTTCTTTTGAGTTCGGCTTTTCTTCCCCGACATAAAGTATAACATAACGCGCATGAAAAGTAATTAGTCGAAAAGTAAAAAAGCCGTAGAACAATACAGAAAATTGTGAGACAAAAATGTTATTTCAATTATAACTTGTAGCAATTAGTATTTTTCCTATCAGTTCGACTTACTTCTAGCCTTATAGATGTAATAGGCAAATCGATAATCTTTAAAGCCTATCAATTTACATATTTTCTTGAATATGTTTAGTGTTTACACGCATTAATAGTAAATATAGAATTTAATTTATGATAATTTATATTATAATAAAAATATTTGTTAGATGCATTTTATTATATAGCTTATATTTTGTCTTTTTGTTTGTGGTACTGAAATTAAGATACATTATTACAATCGATAGCGAATCGAAGAAATACGGTACATTGGAAAATTTACTTTAAATGTTTTTAATTTTAATATTTAATATCAAATTTTAACATAAATAACATTTAATTACGCAATTAAAACCCTACCTTTTCCACCAGTGGCCAAGCGGTGTTCGTACCCTGAACATTGGCAGCCGAATGCAGAGACAACGTTCAGAGGAGGACGGAGGTTTACAGATCGGGTAGACCGCTGTTCTGAAAAATTTCATTGAAGAGACGGCATTTCTCGCCTGCCACGATGTAGACAACGATTAGAAACAAGTTGAGCGACCTACTTTCTAGACTCCCTCGATAGCAGGTTTAGACATCATTTTACTCGAGTAGAAGGCGCCATTTTCCTTTGTTGGTCGTGTTAAAATGGATATTCTTAATTTAATCAATCTTGCAAACGGGAGGAATGAAGAACATCATTCATCTCGACATTACGAAGAGAGAGAGAGTAATGAGAGATCGGAATAATCCTATAGAAATTTATTCCGAAGACGAATTTCGAACTCGATATACATTTTCTAAATCTGGATTCGTTCATATATTAAATCGTGTTGGCGACGAAATTAGACATGTCGATGGAAGAGGATTGCCATTAACTGCCGAAAAACAGTTATTGGCGGCATTACGATTTTATGCCACCGGAAGCTACCAGAGGGTAGCCGGTAATCTTATCGGAGTTCACGTCTCTACTGTATGCAGGTATCTATCAAACTATTATTAAATAGATTTAAAAAGTTTTTTGTATAGTGATAGAGACTATACATGTATATATATTACGAGGTCTTCCTTAACGTTTGTGTTAAGTTATATATTGCATTATTTATTAATTATTGTTATATCGTTATCAGAACCATCCAAAACGTCTCAAAGGCATTAGTACATCTAAAGAATGCCGAAATTGTATTTCTGACGCAATCCGAATTTCCGACTATTACGCATGATTTTTCTTTATTATTAAAGGATAACTTTCCAGGAATAATTGAGGCAATTGATTGCACTCATATTCCTATCCAGTGTCCTGACAGCAGTAGAGCTCAACTTTTTTATAATAGAATATCCTATTATTTCATTAACTGCCAGGTGAGAATTATTTACACACAATATCATCTTTACTTAAATATGTGATTTTCTTAACCTTATAATTAAGTGAAATTTCAATAAAATGTAATAAACTGTAATTTATTGTAGCTTAAATAACTATTAAATATACAATGGCCTATATATTTTTCTAACATTGTTATGCCTTGTTGTGAAACAGTTATATTCTTGAGTATTTCTTTGACATATAAAATTACAAATATGAAATAGTATCTTTGATACCTCAAACTGATAACTTTAATGAAAATATATAATTGATGCATGTTTAAATGTATATTTCAGGTAATCTGTGATGGAAAGATGAAAATTAGAAACATTGTTGCTCGGTGGCCCGGTTCAACACATGACAGTAAAATTTTTTATAACAGTAGCACTAAAGAAACACTACATCAAGGATATTGTAATGGATATCTTTGGATATAGCGAACTATTATCATCGCTGTAATTTCGCATGCTACTGTTTGTACCGTGAAGTTGAAATCCCACGAAATTCACTGATGATCCGTATCTGTATCCGCGGATATACATTTTTAACGATCCGACACATCACTAGTGACAGTGGCTATCCTTGTTTGCCGTATTTAATAACCCCGTTTCTATATCCGCAAAATCATGCCAAAAGACGGTATAACAAAGCTCATTCACGAGCAAGAAATATCGTCGAGAGATTATTTGGGGTCTGGGAAAGTCGATTTCCATGCATTGGAAGTTGTCTAAGAACTAAATTAGACAACACGCTAAACATAATAATACCCACAGCAATTCTACATAATTGGGCCATTGAATTTAAAGAGAAGGGGTTTCTTATTGAACATTTAAATGAAGAAGTAGAGGAAGAAACTTCAGAAATGAATGAGCAATCTGGATCAGGATCTGCTCTTCGAAGATCTATTGTACTGCAACATTTCAGTTAAATGAAACAGTACTTTAAGACTTTCACAAAAGGTCTTTTCACGACCATACAATTTTGATAAAGGGTGAGCCTATCATAGACAAAATAATTCTCTTTTTATTCATTTTAAATAAAAACATTACTTAACATAACCTATGTAACAAATTAAATAAACATTCATACAATTGATTTATTCATCCATATTTCCCCAAAAAGATTTAAATTATGATTTCTGTATTTAATTTTATGTATTTCTTGCTCCTGAAGTACAGTTCCACGAGGCATTGTTGAAAATGTTTATATAACATTCAATAAAACATTCAAAAAAGCCACCATGACAGTTAAAAATAATGACATCTCACCCTAATCATGATAATTTTAATTATTATTATGATAAATTAATTTTTAAGAGACTTTTAAGTGGTGTACCTATACTTTTGTAACAGACTACCTTTTGTTTATCAATTAGAGCATACTACAGTGTTTTTCACAAATAGTGCAAAAAGTGAGTTTTAATTTACTTAACAAGTATTAAATGAAATTTATGTAATCAAGCAAGTTAATCTATAAATGTATTACTTCAAAAATTTCATTAAACAGTTGCTATTTATAACATTTTTAATTAAATACTTTTATATAATAATTAAGAAGTATTCATGTAATACTGTTTATAACTTACAGTATAAAAGAGAGTGTGACAAAGAATTTGATATATATAAAGAATATAAAGGAATTGCTTTTTGCCCTTAATATAATTAAATTAATTAAAAAACCTACTAATGTGAGGTAGATAATAAGGATTTATCACACCAGTGATAATAAGCACAAACACCCAGATATCAATGGAGTACATTTAATAAAAACGAGACATATGACCCCATTTCTACATTCGATTACATTAGCAATTAACATGAAATAACCAAAATGCATTTCAGACTATCGGAATAGTCCCTCCTCAGTTGATATACATATAAAAAGGTTATAATACAGTACTTAAAATTATACAAAACAAAAGAGCCGTTATAAAGGTATGAACATTGAACAATAAATGGATTAGAGAAGACAAGCTTAGGCGGTTTCATAATGTTACATGGTAGCTTAACGTAAGGGTTATTATTATAAACAGTATTAAAATTAGCAGAATAATAGAGTAATTAATTTAACTTGATATATGTTAAACATGATTCTGTAATCACAAACAATAGCTAAGTAGCTATTATATATATATATTTTACATAGGAATTATGCTTCACTTTTATCTTTCTTTTATTTTCATATATTTTTTCTTTGATATTCTTCTATCATCTAAATGTTTAATAAGATTTGACCACTCTTAACTAAAGTTGTTGGCCCTGAAAAGGGTCGTTTTAATATTTATAAAAGGGCTGTGGAGTCGCATAAAAATCCATGACACAGTCAATATATAAATATGCATTCGATCATTTTTACCTCGATAATTCGCAATTGGCGACGGTAAACTGGGAGAAAGTATTACAATGTAAATCCGTCTCTGTAATCCAAAAAACACACTTTGGTAGACGTATATCACAGCAATTTCTGGTTAGCAAATAAAAACAACTTGCTAACCAAAAATTGCTGTGATATACGACTACCAAAGTGTGTTTTTTGGATTACAGAGACGGATTTACATTGTAATATACCATACAGCAAGCCGTTTACATATATGGGAGAAAGTAACTTAAAAAACTGTTAATGAAAGAATCATTATTTGCTCTTCTGAATGCAATGTATCAACTTCATTTTATGAAATAATTTGTTCAATTTCTTTAGTTCATGAAAATAGTACCAACGTTTAAAATGTAAGTAAAATAACAACCGAATTACTGTAAAATTCAAAATAAATGCTAATATCGTCTTGTAAATAATCACAATTATAATCTACAAATTTATATTGTTTTATGAATTATATTTCATAAATTTAATCTAAAACAATATAACAGTAATATATCGTGAAACACGTTGATTATAATGAAAGAACATATGAGAGATCAATTGGCTATTATTATTATTACTATGTTGGGTTTAGTGGGTTATACTCGGTTCACACCGGTGGCTGTGTACTATGCCGGACCAGAGTCAAGGCATAGCAACCAAAACAAAACTAAAATTAAATAAGTGTGTCAGTGTCTGTATTCAGGAATTTCCTAACAATGTGGCATGTATTCAATATAGTGGCCTTCTGTAGTGTTATGTATGTATTTCTACTCAATTCTAATGTTCCCAGGCTTTTGTGTAGTGTGTGTGGTATCACACCTGTACAGGA